GTTTCTTTGAAATACAGGGTTACAGGCTATTTAATAGGGATAAAGTACTAAAGAGGGGAGGGGGAGTAGTTTTATATGTAAAATGTAAGTTACATCTTGCTGAAGTTGAGGATATCAAATATAATAACAAGGAGATTGAATCCATTTGGGTTTCTATTAGTGGATATAAAGGGAAAAGGCTTTTAGTGGGAATTTGTTACAGACCAACAAACAATACTGATGAAATTAGTGAGAAACTTTACAGTGAGATTAAGATTTCAGCTGTTAATGAGGTCATAATTATGAGTGATTTTAAATTCACCAATATAAACTGGGAAATGCTACAGTCAAACTATGAGGAAGAAAGATTTTTTGGAAACTGTTCAGGAAGGTTTCCTTCACCAGTTAGACAAGGAACCAACTAGAAACAATGCTATTGTTACGTATCTGCTCGTTTGATAATTTCCCATAAAAATTCTTCCCGAGGAACTTCAGCGAAACAAGTCCTTTCTTATATAAAACCTAGCTTATTCTTTCTCAATACAACTTTTCAATACATAGAATTTCCATTGGATGCATTAAAACTCCTGATTTCTCAGGTGATCTGTGATTGTTTTCTTCTTTTTTTTTAGGAACTAACAAGGGACCTATTGGTCCATCTCAGCTATCATATCCCCTAAACTAAACTATTATAATTAAAAAGGATATTAAAGCCAACTCTTATCCTTCATATATATATCAAGCTTTCTCTTAAAATCACTTAAATTTACTGTTTCCACAACATCCAAAGACAACCCATTCCAAAGTCCAACCACCCTGTTATAAAACTAAAACTATCTTAGCTCAAGATAACTCCTACCTTGCCAAACTTTTAAAGATCTTAATCTCTCATCATATGACAAACCCTCCATCTCAGGCTCCATTCTAGTAACCCTACTCTGAACCCTTTCCAAAAATTAGGTGAGCCTTCTAAGGAAAAAAGCCCAAGACTCAACATAACATTCCAAACATGACCTAAACAGTGACCTATACAATGAAATTATAACCTATTTATACTTGTATTCAATATTTCTGTAGATACAACCTAAAATTCTATTTACCCTAACACTAGCAACAGCACACTGCTTGGATGGCTTTAGAGACTAGGCAACTATTACACCAAGATTTTTTTTTTCATAACACTGTTAAGGTTATTCCCATCCAAATTATGATAACTCACATGAATTATTTTGCATTTATTATAATTATA